AGCCTACGACTCCAAGACTTATTTCCCTTTTCAAATCTTCGATTCAATTACAGTACAAAAAATTTCTTAGATGTATTTTCAAAACTTGATTTGCCTTATTAACATCTCAATTAATTTTTAAATGTTAATGAGACCATACAATTTAAAAAAAAGAAAGAACAGTAATTTTGGACTGAATTGCTTACTCATTGCTCTTTACAAAACATAGATAAAAAAGATGACATGAACAAATTAAGATGTATATTCAGTGTATAATTTGTTTTAATGTTAAACTTTTAGAATTTTTAAATTTATATTCTGAAATAATTTTAGATACAAGACTAAAAACAATAATTGAAAGTGTTCTTTCTTTTAAAGTTGGTATGTAACACTAAACTCTGAACTATGTCTGTAAAGTTGGTTTTTGTTAATAAAATAACAAATTTTACTAACCTGTGTTTTGGCAGTATACGGCAGGGGATGGTTCACGATGTTTAAGGAAATGCCTGATGACTTCAGATGCGCATTGTACAACATATTCAAAGCCAAAGGCACGCTATGGTATGGATAATTGTTGAACCATCCTGTAATCTGCGTCTCCTCAAACGAAGCTCCAACGTAGTATGCCTCACGCACCTCTCCTTTGTCGGCACTGTACTGCATAGTCAACACACATTAGCGCACTCACTGTTTTGGCAAAATTACCAAATATTAGTTGTCTACGTAATTAATAATTTATGGTCTTGAGTGTTTTCATCATCAGAACCAGCGATGTAAAACTCCTATTTTTTGTCGAGGTAGTTAGCTAGACAAATCTGGTATCTGCTGGTATTTTCAGAGAAAATGAGAAATATTATCCCATGCCACCATGCACTTGAAGTTTTGATTATCAATTAGATTATCACAGGACAGAGAGAGAGAGAGAAAGAGAGGGAGAAAGAGAGAGAGGGAGAAAGAGAGAGAGGGAGAAAGAGAGAGAGGGAGAAAGAGAGAGAGAGAAAGGGAGAAAGAGAGAGAGGGAGAGAGAGAGGGAGATAGAGAGAAAGAGAGGGAGAAAGAGAGAGAGGGAGATAGAGAGAAAGAGAGGGAGAAAGAGAGAGAGAAAGGGAGAAAGAGAGAGGGAGAGAGAGAGAGGGAGAAAGAGAGAGAGAGAGGGAGAAAGAAAAAAGAGAGAGACAGCGAGAAAAAGAGAAACAGAGAGAGAAAGAAAACGAAAACCTCAGTCAGTACGGCCGGTCCGGGGGTCGAACCCGGACCTCCCGATTCCTAATCCAGCGTGCTACACACTTAGCCACTTCGTTTGAAATAAAAAAAAATAATTCACTACCCTTGTTCACAGACGATCGGACAGAAATTTTGCCGTCATTCGATTTTTTGGTATCAAGTACCCACAAAACGGATTCTGGCTACACTATATGTTAGAGGATTTTATTTTGAATTTAACAACTGGATTTATCTCCTTTTTTGTTATCAGAGCCCTGCAAAAAGAATTTTTCTGACGAAAAGTCACTACTATTTCTCGCAGTATTACATTATTTACTCTTCTTAAGGGGGAGAAAGTAAAAATATTTTTTGTTGATTTGCGTTTCCAAAATGTATGAGATATGGAGAACATTCGTCAGAAAACATTTGCAGCATTTGTGCAGCATTCGAGATGTTGCGAGCTCTTCCCCCAACACTAATGCGGAATTTTTTTCTAATAAACTTTTCAACGAAAGAAAATTCCCCAAATTTGAAACTAAAAATATTCACCAAATTATGGAACTTGCTCGGAGCCGCCTCCAGCACACAATGGTCACTTCACAGCGCAGTGACGTAGCCATCACTTCGTCCCGCCGCGGACCGATGGGTTAACAACAGGGACACGTGGAATTGGGTACATTATAATGTACAGCAACTCAATTCTGTTTTAACGAAAAAAGGGTAAATAAAAATGCAAATATTTCTCTTGAAATTTTCAAATGCTCGGTGGCATAAATTAATATCGCTCTGAAAATATGCATCCCTATATTTCAGGTTAAGTACATTTATGAGTTGAGTTTGAAGAAATCGCAAGCATAGAAAAATAATCATTGTAAAACACATACTGCGTTGGATATCACTCAAAAACAACATATAATGTAACAATTTTTGGATCCATGGTCAGATAAAAATTAAACAGTTTACTTATGACATGTTTTCGTAAATATACAAAAAATATTAAAACATTGCTGCATTTATTTTTTCCTCAGAATCATAATTACAAATCTAAATATATTTTCAATATTATTGTAATATTTCAATTATTGTACAACTACTTATAAAAACATTAATCTATAGTTCAATAACATTGTGATTTTAACTACAATATTTTCTTTAGTTTCAAACAGTAGTAACTATTTGTTGTTCTCTTACCTGTTCGAGCATGCGCTTTTCAAATGCATCAGAGGGAGATGTTTCATTATCTAGAAGTATTACAGTCCACGTGCTATCAGTTGCCAAATCCCGATAGTTTTTAGCCATAGATTTGTCACCACTTCCAACTGCTATCACTGTCTTCTTGTTTTTCCAAGTCTGCAAAGAAGATGTCTCTCAAACTACTAACACATTGACATCAAAATCTATGTACGATTTGTCAAAAAATGGCACTTTCATGTTGTTAGGTCTATAAACCTTTTTTGTCGTGCAAATAAAATGTAATTAGTGCTAACAGCTTTAGCAGAAGACGTTGGTCCATATTTGAATTTTAAATGATGCAGGAAAACATCTAAACAACGACTTACACACTCGCCTAGCGAAGATTCCTTAGGATCGGCTGCTCTGATTGGTATTTTCTGTATATTCGCTTTAAAAAAAATCATGTAGATGCTGGGACACTTCCTAAAACAATGGGCCACGCGCGATCCTTTTTCCCCCAATGCCACTCTGATCCTCTGAGTCTGGGGTTGGGGTTGAGCACTTATTCCACCTCCCCAATCCCAAATTTCCCGTAATCTCAAGGAACGCCGATAGAACTAAAGGAATGCGGAAATATGGACAAAACGCATGGGTCGTGGCGCCAGACAGAGAATAAGAAAATATTTTCGTTGCTGCAGAGCCTATAAGCTTTTGGTAGAAAGTTTGGCATTTCCTTCTTTAATATGGCAGCCTTCATCATAGCACAATAATTGAGTTCAAACGCTTCCCTGCCTGCAAATAGCGCAGCGTACTTCTGCCAGCGATGACAAACACACGGATTCTATTTCCGAAAGCTTCAGACTGTACATGTTTTCGAAACTCATTATCCTTCAAATACGAACAAAGAAAAGAAATCTTGCTCTTATCCTGGGGAGCATCACCCAATGTATCTGTGAGATCCCAATGCGAGACATTTTCAAATAATTAAATAGCGCGATTTCTAGAGGGGTAGGTTTTTTGTATTCTCCGTAGTTCGTTTCGGAGTGGTTTCTCATTTCAGCTGATTTCCTAGTTAAATCTGCAAAAGACGGCATGCTCTAGCGACAGTGCTAAACTATTATCTTGATGAAAACAGTCCTGAAAATCGATGTTAAATAAATCTTAGACATTGAATTTTCCAAGCCGAATATCGTTAATTGAGACTTACAGACCACGTGAAAGCTAAATGCAAAGAGATATTTCATTTACATAAGTAGAGAGCGTCGAAAACAATCGAGGGATCTGACAGACATTTGTATGCAGCAGGCCTGGGCAATTTTAATCCAGATCAGATCTCCTTTTATACATAAAAGCCAAGGTGATCGACTACTGACCACTATAATGTTCTTAGGAAGGTGGTCTTTGTTGTTTACAAAATAAATTATCCTTGTCAAAATACAAATGTTATTTATTTACCCAAGTAAGCATCAACATTACAACAAAATGAACCTTGAAATTTTCTAAATAACGTGATGTCTGTGTCTGCGTATCGAGCACCAAAATATGATATTGAGGTGTTCCATTAAGTAAGAACGAGTCACATGAGATCGACAAAAAATATGTTGCAATAGACTTGTCGGCCAAGCCTTATTTAGTTTTTATTGCGAACGTTCGTTTACGTTATCGCGAACAAAGGCGTTTAATTAACGACGCTATGACGTGCGTATGGGCGCTCGGGAGTAATTCTCCGTAATAGTAAACTAAGTAGTAATCCTCCAATACTTGTATGTTACAAGTCGCGCGACTTTTCTCGACGTCTGAGGTCCCTAGTGCTCACCACATCACGACTCGACACGATCAGGCTTATCAGGGCTGCCAACCGCTGCTTTTGAAAGAATCCAGTTCTCGCTGTACTTTGCTGGGCGCTGTGATTTATTTGTTATTTTTCTACGACGCTATTTTGCTTCCCTCTTGGCTTTACGATTCCAATTTTGGTTTATTTTATCGTCTATAATATCCTGTTTTATTAAAAACGAAAGAGGCGCGAATAGTATTAATAATGTCACGTTTGAGATACCCGTCTGATAAGATGTAGGCAGTAGCCTCCTCTCCCCTCACCCCGCGCTGCGAGTCATCAAGAAAAGTCGCGCGATATGTCACGTATCGTGTCAGTCTGTTGCCAAGAAGACCGCCAGGTAGCATCTCCGCGAACGCGCCTCCTACTACGCGCTCCTGCGTCACTTCCCAGCGACCAAAATTGGGAAAGAATTAGGACAGGACAAGTATTTAGAACACTTCACAGGGGTTGGACTAGCCCATGTGAAGCCGCCAAACTCGTTTTGATGGCACCGATTTCACATGCGATTGTCCGGGAATTTAACCCTCAGGGAAAGGCTTCGCTCTGTGCCACCGTAGATTTACTACGTAACGCGGAATATTTCCTAAGCGTGACGCTGACCTCGGGGAGCATGCTGAGTTCGGGCAGCATCTCGACGCTGGTGGACATGTGCACCACGAAGTACGTGTAGAGCAGAACGAAAGCAGGCGCGATCACGAGGATCAACAGCAGCAGCCAGCCGCGCCGCGCCACCACGCTCTTCTTCAAGAAAATGGCGCGCATCTGGTTGAAGAGCAGCCTCTGGCCCGTCACCAGCTGCACGTCCTTCGTCATAACTGCGCACACGTCATCCTCGGCCTGCGGCGCCCGCATGCGATAGCTCGCCACATTTAAGGGGGTAGACACAGCTTACAGCAGTTAGTTTCCCTATTTGCCCACATTTTTCGTCCATCAATATCATACTCCACAGCGTTGAAAATAAACTGACAGTAAGGAAACATTTCTTTTAACTTAAAAACTTCTTTTTTTGAAAAATCAAAATTCAACCAGTCCACTTCACTCAGTCACAAAAATCAAAATTCAATTAATCCACTGACTTAGAATTTTCCTGATAACTCAAATAATTTCAAAGATATTTATCAACTGTTTCTCTTGATTTGTTGTAAATACTCAGTGGTACAAAACCATGCTCTTTCATTTAGCTCTCTGAATAAATAATATGTATCATTTGAATCCAAATTAATACATTAATTATTAATAGTTTTTTTTAAGATTTAAATTTTTTTTAACAAAAACTATTGGATAGAAGTGTATGATTTCGAATGTTTTTGTAGATAATACTTGGTTACATGCACCCTAAAAAGTGCATTGCTTTAACACTATTAGGTTTTCACTTATAAGGGAAACGGGTCATATAAACTCTAATTTTGGAAAACAAGCGAAGTTTGATTAATGAGTCTTGCTTACTTTACTACTGTACTCGATGCATGATGAAGCAACATACCTTTTAAATCATAACTCGAAAACTATTGCAGATATCGAAATATTTTTTCACCAAACTTCTCCTAAATAATTAATGCATTGGAATGAAAATGTCTTCAAAAATACATTTTTTAAAGTTTTAAGACGTATCTGTTCCCTTAAGATAAGCATGCGCCTGGATACGCGCATAATCCGAACTCGTACCCTCGGCTAGCCCCTGAACTTTATTCAGTGAGTAGGGAGCGTCTGCCACCACGAGTTGTCGGCGTGTTCAGATACGTGCAGTTGGCACCTCCCCCTTGCAGAAAAATAAAATGGCAATAACCATAATTTTTCTCAAGCTTGCATAAGGAATAAAACGTTTTGCCTAAGTCAAACTCCGCTAGAAATAGCAAATCTAAATTTTGTACTTCAAAATCTCTAGGATCCTCTTTTGCAAATCTGAGTTTGAACAACCTTTGAAAAGTATTGCCCAAGTCATACAACGCCTCAAGCTGGACTTTTTCAAGTTTTATCTGGAGTTGGACAGAAATTGCAATATTTCAATATTATGGAACTATTTCCAATAGCGCGAGAAAGTTCCTGCTGTTATAGCTCTAGTTTTGCATATACGAACTGTTTGATGCACATTTGGAAACTACTCTTACAAAGAGTTTCGAGCTTATTCTGCATTACACGAAGTTTCAAATAAGGCCATAGTCATTTGTCTCGGAACATCGAGTTTACAGGCTCGAACAGTAAAGGTTTAACAGAACAGTAAAGCAATTTTGGCCCTCAATATGTGGCAGTGAGATACATAACCTTAATATAATAATAATATATTGATACTTTTTACTTATTTCAATACTCCAAGTTTTCGTGGTCATAGATTCTTACTGCTATCTGTATCTTGGAGTAATGGAGAACATATCACAATCTCTTTCCACGAGTAGTGTCTTATTCATATTGTTATATTCATGGGCGGATGCATTACTATATTCAAATGAAGAGCTTATTTTTAAAGTGATGTATCTTCAATAAATACAAATTTTTCAAAAAAGAGAAAAATACAAATTCAACCTTATGATCCAAGATAATATTATAAGGTTTTCGTATTATTTGCAGCATTATAAAGAAGCGTTTTATTATGTTGAAGTGAACCACTATAAAACAATACGAAATGAGGATACGTCACATGATTAATAATCTCTTTAATAAAGAGCCTAATTGTAGTGCACCGTTTTCAACGATTAATTGCGAAGGAAGTTCCGATCTAAACGTGCCCCTCTACAGCGAAACGCGTTGGCTGAGCAGCGTTAAGACTCACTGGACTGAGGCGTAGAACTTGTTCTGCGCGGCAGGGAAGAAGGCTCCATGTACTCGTACTCCTTGCTCACCCTGCCACACAGAGTAGCTGCCATTGGTAAGGCACTCCCGCTCACCTTCTAAGCGTCTACCACTAACATAGAATGCTTACATGACACCGTTTCGACGCTTTCTTGCACCTACCACTTCAAACCCACAAGTTTCAGACGAAGAAAGAGTGCGTTATAATCAGAAGGCCGCATCATTTATAAATACAATACGGGGATATCAGACTGAATGTTACGAACACGAAGTAGTTTTCAAAGCTTTTCCTCTCAGTGTCCGAAGTTTTAGAAATAAATTAGAACAAGATATTAAATAAGTATGTGCTGTGTAGTGCGGTGAAGTGCTGTGAAGTGCTGGTCAGTGTGTAATTCAAAGGTAATTCAAAGCAAAAAAATGTAGTGTAGTGAAGTGAAGTGAAGTGCGGTGAACGTGATCAATGCACTTTTCAATGCCGCTTTTCGTCTTGTACTGTATTGTACGGTATTATTATTATTATTATTATTATTATTATTATTATTATTATTATTATTATTATTATTGTTATTATTAGTAGTATTATTATTGTTATTATTATCATTATTAGTATTATTATTAATGCAAGTGTTGTACTTTTTGCAAATATTGCCATTAACTGCCACCGGGTCATACCCAATTGCAGTTCTAATAAATGTATGTATGTAAAAACGTAATGAATAATGAATACATAGAACATCTAAAACATGAACTGGGGTTGTCGATTCTCATTTTTGGTCAATGAACATGAAGTGGAAAATGTCGTATAACAAAGTTACAGGTAAGGCATTTGATTTTGAGTGATAGAGGACTCTTTATGCATTGATGATTGGCAGATCACGGTCTGACGCAGTTATATTTCTTCAGCCGAACCCCAGTGCATAATATGATGTCTCGCAATCAGAGACAAATGCCATATGGTCACATGACGTTACCCACTATATTGTATTCGCTCATTGGTAAAAAGTGATCTCACCCCCAAACTCCACATGTCCTAAAAGTTTGTTACATTTTGTCCCACAAGTATTGATGATCGTCTACTGTATTATTTCAGTCGATAGGTACGTTTTGCGGCTATCACAGGTAAATAATCTTTATAAATGATGTCTCTAAAGAAAGAGAATTTCCCGGAGTCTAGATCAATTGCATTTTCACTCTAAAAAGATGAAAGACTGGAAAAAAATACACGGCGTTGCTCGGACTTTCTTCATATCCAGTCCTTGTAAAAGAAGCAAAAGTTCAATATTGCATAAACCACGGTGTTTAAGATAATGCTTTTTAATGTAAATAGTGCTTGAATACGTTCTCGCCGTTTCCCATTAGAGTTATCAGTACTACCTGAAAGTAATTTCCAATACGATCGCACTTACAAGGAAGTGCTGTTGGTAATCCTGTACGCAATTGTGCCTTTCTTCACCACAGTGTAAATAACGTTTTGTATTTCGGAGTGCTAAATATATCGAGTTTTGTGACAAGAAAAAAATAATTTGCGGGGAATTTTATTGCACTCTTATTCACAAGAAATCTGCAGCTGAAGCATACAGAATTCTTGTTGAGTCTTGCGGTGCTCTGTAGAAAACGACATGCAGAGGCTAGTTCCACGCTTCAAAAATGATTTTGCTCTTGGAAATAAAGAACGCTTTGGCGCGCCGAAAAAAAGTTTACTATCTACTCTCGATAATTATCTATTGTTTTCGAGGTGCGCGTTTATCCGCTGTCCTAACAAATTAGTTAAAACCTAAGAGCTTGCAGTCCACTTACATCAAGAACACCTCCTCCATTGTGGTGAGCGAGACCCCAAAGGTAATCACGTCCAGCTGGGAAGTATTCTTCTCCAGATCTGCCAACATGGGCTCGAAGAGCGCAGTCTGAGCTTCGTCCAGCTGGTAGACGATCTCAAAGCCCGCCTCCCGGGCAATCTTCAGATTCTTGATATGCTTCGACAGCAACTGAGACATTTGCACAATAAGGGAGCGTTATGAATGCTTACATTTTAAAACCCTGCAATCAAAGCAATACATTTTTAACGCAGTTCAATTTCACAGTACAACTCATCGAGACATTGCTACTTTACGGGTTAATAAGGACGACGCCTCTACGTAACCGAAAATTAAGGTTAAAACGGTTAATATTCTTTGAAAAACAATTATTTATTTAAAAATTCAAAACGAATTATTTAGTATCAGAGACATTATTTTCTACTTCTTTGACCCCACTATCCAAACTGTAAAAGCCAACTTATTAGCGTCTGTGATGGCAACTAATTTTGTTCGTCTTTACTCAGATGGATATTTTTTTCATAATCATGAATTATTAACCCTTTCAAGCAGGAATTAATTATTATTGCAAAGATGTTTTACTTCGAGTTTTAATATTTCATATAGCGGCTTAGATGACTAATTTGTTATTTATTGTTTGTCTTCGTTCACAAGTTATGGTCTGGTACATGAATGTGCCTCTTATACTTTTTTGAAACACTCTCAATAATGTTCTAATTCCACACAAAGGAGTAAAGATGATATAATAGTTTCTCCCGCTGCTTGTCGTACCTCATCTGCACTCTTGTATCCACCCACGCCGCCCTACCCCTGGCGACTCCACCGCCTTCAATATAATCCGCGGCCCAACCTCGTACTCTGAGTCCATCTGTGTCCATGCCTTTGCCTGCTACCTCGCTTCCGCCCCACCCTCGCCACTTCATGCCCTCGATCCCTGTCTCAGCCCTCGCATCTATCCTCCCCTCCACCTTCGGCTCCGTTTTTCGTGGGCACTCACCGTCGTCCCTGCCTCCGCCCGCGCTTCCAGCAGTTTACCCGTCCCTGCCTTCACCTCCCCCCGGCCCTTGC